GTTAAGCGAATTCGATCCAAGAACGCGATAAGCGAGTCGCCTCGTCGATGATGACACGTTAATTTCCCGTCGCGATTAGCCGCGATAATCACCGACACTCGACTTTGGATCTTAGAAATTCAATGACTGCGATCCCAGACAGTTTTTTCATACTCTTGCTACATAAATTTTCTAAATAAAACGAATGTTTCCCGAGTTATTCTATCCTCCAAATTAAAACAGATTATTAGAAGAGCTCAGTGGTCTCGGTTTGTATGTTTTTCCAGTCTCCCCCCGTGACCGTTTTCACGCGTTTTTCGCGTTTATTGAGAGGCTGGCGGAGTATCGGGGCTCGACGAGCCGCCGGGAAGAAAAACGACAGGTGTTTTTCCGGGGATGATTCGCGGGAGGATTGATGGCGTCGCGTTTAAAAGTGTACCGACGGCACTCGATCGACGCGACGCGGTGAAAAGCGAGCGGGGGAATCGCGGCGGAGCCGCAAACGCGATTAAAGCACCGTTCCGCGCGCGGCGGATTCTAAATAACGCGGTGAAAGCTTCGAACGGTCCTTCGAACGATCGATGAACGCTGTGGTCGGCCAGGATTCGGTTGCCCGCGATACTTTTTATCCACCCGTTCGACCAGTCGTCGCAAAATCTCGCGAAAAGTCGCCAATGTCCTGCCTCCGGCCACAAAACGTTCGTTTCGAACTATCGTTGCTCCAAGTATCATTTTTTCGCGACGTAAAAGAATTTTTATCCGTACAGAAAATATAAGAATCGCTTTTAGCGTTGCAAGGATTATAACCTGTTTGTAAAAATCCGAAAAAAATTCTTTTGGGTGGAAAATTAGGTTATTCGGGGGATGGGCGTTTCGTGACTGGCATCGTAATGAGCTGTTAAGAACTTTCAACGTTTGGTGTGCCGTGCACGTCATTAACGCGTGGACAACTGTAGTTTAAATACAGAGATATGGAGGTAAAAAAAATAATTACATCGTCATAGAAAAGGGAAGAGTATTGCACGAATTTTTAAATACGTACGAGAGTTGCTTTGGAACAGTACTAATGAGTATCGCGTGTGTAGCTTTTGAAGGAAATTAATGAACCTCCGCAGCAAGTTGTCGCCATTCAGGTCCCTTATTACGTCGAACATTTTATTTACGACTACGAGGCGACCGTTAATTGTTCACGCTTTTGTGGAACATTGAATCGCGAAAAGAAATTTACTCTCATCGAATTCCTGAACCCGGAAAAATTAGGGTGGAAATCTCTGTTCTTCGCCTGTCCTCGCGTCTATCTCGGTTCCGTTTAATCCGTCTCTATCCGTCCCTGTCGTCCTGAGTGATTCTCTCTTTGGGGTTGGAGTATTTCCGTACGTCCATAAATCCATAGACGACAATAATATTTAAGTAGGTGCCCCCCCGTTTGAATCTCTCACCTCGAGCGTGTACAGTAATTTATGTCTTTTCGTAATCGTATATTCCTATTCTTCCTATTATTCCGCGTCAACGTCTCCATAAAGTGTCGCACGGTAGCCTAATGAAACCGGAAGGCAATATCGAGTTCGTGCATGCTCGAACGTACGTGGATAGAAACGAGCACGGATAATCGTCTTCGTATTGTCTCTTCGCTAATTCCCATTAAACTTCACTCCGATGAGACCTTGTATAATCGTTTCTTAGATCAAGGAATATTTGCGCTTAAACCACCCCTTTTATCAACCCCTTGCCACACAATCACGTGTTTGATTCGTTATCAAGCCTTAGAAATTAAAATCAACACATATTTACATTCATTAGATGTTCGTAAAATCTATTCTTTTTCGTTTGAAAAATTATTTGGTATTAAATCGTAAGTCAAGGGGTTAATGTAGTACTCGTAGGTCGTAAGTTGCGTGCTAAATGTGGAGGAGAATTTTTTCTGTGAAAGTTATTAATATTAGAGCTACCAAAGCAGTCAAAATGACCCATTCGTAATTTCTAATGAAACTTGTAAAAAATTTACTCGACTGAATTTTCGAAAATTTGTCGTAATTTTCTATAAGAGAATATATAACACTTATTTCCATTGCATTATATATTTCTTCAAGTATCTATCGTTGCAATTTCTTTGGTACAAATAAACACACTGTAATTATCGTTAGTTCTAGTGTTAAGTCTGCAATTTTCCAAGGTTGGTCCAGTAAAGGATTCTGTAAAATTTCTAAATCACCTAAATCGATGAATCTCACCCCCTGTCGACAATCAGACGGTGAACTCTGGTTACTTGACCACGAAAAAAAAATAATAAATGATCTATTACACGAGTTCTGGCAAACTCTGCTCTAAATCCTCGTCGCGGTGAAATCTCCAATATGATTCGTGTCTGTTCGGAGTGTTTGGTTCGAATCGAGGGGGGAGGAAGATTTCCACCGGGAAGCCAAGGAGGTCCTCCGCCTCACGTGAGATTTCACCGCGCGATTCGGCGTCCCGTCGACGCGAGGTCGTCCTTCGAATTTCATTTTTCCACGAACGTGAACGAGAGAGAAGCGAGGAGAGGCAAAAGGTTCGAGGAGAATGAAATAGTATAATGGCGGAATGAGGTCGACTGGTAGGTTGGAATGCAGGTAGAGGCTGCCTGCGAACCTGGCGTGGTATGCAAGTCGACTGGTCCGGCTGGCTACGGCGCTGAAACGCCTAAGCGCAGCCTTTACCGTCGTTGCTTTCGAACTATCTCTTTTGAAATACGATCGATGAGGGCTATTCGCTCGCCCGGGTAGGGACCCGGGAACCGACGATATTTCCAACTACGAAACGCGTCCCGGAGGCTGCTTTGGCCCACGAACCGGAGGGTGGGCCAACCGGATATTTTCGCCGAGATTCGAGGCTCCTCGCGGACGACGCGATCGATCGACTCCTCGACTCGACTCTCGAACGATATCTCGAACCTGGGAGACGTTTCGCGAATAGTTGGCCACCAATTCGCGACTGACTTAGTCCAAGTCTCGCTAAACTGCGCCTTGTTTGGCTAAATTATTTATTTATTACACCCTTTGATACAACACGGTTGCATAATATGCGTGAAAGTCTCGTTAAATGCGTATCTTGTGAAATACAGTGCATGTACACAACACTAGTTACATGCTTTTTAACGCATTTAATATGTGTTTCACTAAGGAGCTAAAGAAAATAATATTTTTAATGTGTTAGAATTCTTGAAATGTGTTGAGATTCTTTTAATCAACTATTCTGCACTCTTATATGCATCAGATAGAATTTATATTAGAATCGCGGATAGAAGGAGTCCGCTCTTCTTTGCACCCACTCACAGGATCGCGAATGGGAAGATTTATTTTGTATCGATATTTTTATTCCACGCTGCACGATCGCTGGGTAAGACCCAAAGCTTGTTAAGGGAGAACGAGAATCAGGTCCGTGGCCAATAGCTCGAAAGAAATAAACTGCCCACGAAAACCCTCCCCTTTATTCCCGTCCCGAACGTTCTATCGGTCGAAACCGCGTAAAAACTTTTCGAGTGGTTTTTTATCGCGAAACTTCCGGCCCCCCCCCTCCGCCATCCATCGTTTCTTCGCGAAGCTCTCGTCGATCGCGCGGTTCCCTCGAAATTACCGCGAGCCGATAACTTTCTCGACCGAGGGGGTGGCGATTATCGTGACTTCCGTAATTGCCAAACTTCGCTGAGCAACGCTCGCGTTTGTTTTGTCCAGATTCCCTGGCTGTGACTTCTCCCTCGATATTAATTGACGCTTCTCCTTCCAAGAAATATTTTCTAATTTTTCAGAAATCACCATGGTATCGAAAAGGGTTAATTTGATTACGTTTCGTCCACGAGTGGGACGGTGATCGATCTAACAAGCGATTCGCGGGACATTTTTCGTCCCTCGCCCCTCCTAAATCGTCGAAAACCGGGCTCCATTCTCGACGGAAGCGAACAAAACGCCATTGTTCGTCCCCGTCTCGACTTAACTTCCGAAGAAGTTTCGCTGTAAATTACCCTCCTCGGTTTATTAAGGCCAGCTACTTTCGTCGCGGTACGACATCGGCCGATCCGTCTTCCGCGTCCCTTTTGCTTCCTCCCTTCATTTCGACGGATTAACTCGTTCGAGGGCCGACCAGGGGAACCCATTAGACCGACAAAACGGCGACCAGTGCACCCTGATTGCCAAGGTTCCCGCTGGACGCCTCGATCGATCGCCAGAAACGAACGACCATTTCGATTGACATTATCGCGATTTTATTTCGCCGCGATTACCTCCTCGTCCGTAAATGCGCCATTACAGTCCTCGCGGGGGGATAGCTTCGCGGGTTTTACGAGTTTCGACACACTTTTTCTCCCCCCAACCTTTCCACGTTGCGTAGACGCGCGATTTCACGATCCTTCTTCGATTCTTCCAAGGATCCTCTGTAGAAATTTCAACTTTCGTGGGTGTTTTTATATCTATTTTCTAACGAACACCGTCAGAAAAAATTTCAAAGCGCAAAGAAAAGGAAAAGAGCTCTCTGGATCATCCATAAGTGAAAATGTCCCCGTGCATCGATAATTCGTTCGTGTAAATCGAAACTGATTCAAGATCATTGTACGCTGATCGTATAAAATATCGAAGAGGCGATCAATGTAATCGACTATCGGTAAGAGTAAATCGAGGTAATGGTGTTCTAAGCCGACGATCGTTTCCTCGATCGCGATCGACGAGCGTTCTCTTAATTGCTTTCAAAGAAGGATGTAAAAACGAAGGGACACTCCCCAGGAACCAGTAATTCTGGTTCGAATTGATACGTCTATTTCCCGCGCACGTGTACCCGGGGAGGGTACAATTAACTCGAGTGACTCGGTCCATTTCGCCGGTTAATGGACGTTAATATTCGTTAGTTCCGTTTATCGCGGGGCTATCGACACGCGTGTAAACGCCGGCCGTAAGAGAATCAGCCACCCGGTAATTGCGAGTCTCGGAGAAACGCTTCTCGATCCGTCTATCGCGTTTAATAACAATCCATAAATTCCTTAACGAGCCGTTCCATAGATACGTGATCACCGAGCTGCTACAGAGCGATCTACACAAGATCATCGTCAGTCCACAGCATCTCAGCCCTGACCACATCAAGGTCTTCCTGTACCAGATACTTCGAGGTGAGTGAAAACAGTCTTTGTATTTTATCGAGGCTCAACGTTCGACGAGAAACGTTCAGCCACCAAGAATGATGCGCGTTTTTCATCGTGTTACGCCCATTGTTTGCACGCACAGTGTCACATTGTTTCACACAGGAACTCTCGTTTATCCAGACATTCACTACAGGTAGTTTTTTAATCATTCACGGAGAAGATTATTGCTAGTTTCTCAAAATTCACCATTGAAATCTTTGGTACAGAATTAAAGTATCATTCTGTGATTTTGTTGAATATGTGTGATAGAAAATATATTTACATAATCTTTTGTTCCGTTTCGAATACGATAGAATTTCGATCGTATATTAAAAAAGGAGATTCGGCAACCTGTTGTCGAGTAATCCCCGCTAAACCGTAGAAATTTGTGTCGGGGCGGAAAAAAAAATGTTGAAAAGGCGAGTGAAACGATAAGCTCCGGTTATAGGGGGATCGAACGAAAGTGAATTTTCGGGGATTCGTTTTCCGTAACAATTGCGCCTTTGAAACGCGATAGGCGATCGTTTAACGCGGCGATCCGTCTGTCGGGAGAAAAATCGACTCGAATCAATCAGCGATCCTGCTATCGGGAGCGAAATGACCCGTGTCGAACGTATTAATTTGCTCCGCAGCACCGGGTTTTTGTTTTTCAATTTTTTCCTTTTTTTTATCCTACCCCTACCCATTCGCGTTCGGAACTACCGTTATAGAAGCGTCGATTCGATCGGCGGAACGAAACGAGATCGGAGAATAGAGACTGCGGGAACAAATCGCGGAACAGATTGCTTCCTCGGGCGTCGAAGAAACGGAAATTTTGTAACAAACGTTTCTCAGACTTGTTGCGTAACGCGACCGATTGGAAACCGCGAAAAGATCCCTGCAAACGGAGGAAATTTTTACTTATATTCGAATTAAAAGCAACACTCAGATATTAAAACGTTTACAACTATCAGAATATGCAAGTAATTTTTTACCCCTTGTAATTAAAGAAGTGGAATAATTTGTCTCGAGTAATTCCTCGAGACCCCTTAAAGTAAATTCTTCGACGAAGACAAGGGAAGAGGGTGAGTATTGTGGAGATTCAGAGAATTGGGAACCGAAAGAAAAACTCGACTGTTACAAAAATCCACCGAGGTAGCATATTGCCAGGGGCGTCGAAGCAGGGTTGGGGTAGGGTAAACAATTTCTATTCACCCCACGGGATCATCCTCGTATCTCGACAGTGGCTCCACTGTTCTTGCTCTGTCTGGCTTGTCGAATTACCTGAGCTGTCGTTCGTTGGCCCTGAACAAACCCCTTTCTTCGCCCCGGCTCGATCTCGCCGTCTTTCGCTAATAAGACGTTGATTTTTCAGCCGTTCTCCGCGAACCGCTTTCGAGCCACTCCAGCTAATTCGACGTCCCGACCGACAAATTGATGCTCTTTTTCTACCGGCGACCACTTCGTTAAGACAGTCGTTTGGCTCGTTCCTCGCCCTTTCACCGCGAATTTACTCTCTCGGGGTCGCCATTGTGTCGAGGACGGTGTTATTCCGCGACGCGTCTGAATTCGATGCTTTGTTTCTCATCAAAATAAATGCATCGTTTGAAATCGAAAGCTACACTTTTTATTAACGAAGAAATACGAGCAACGTTGCTGTTAGAAAATAGCAATAATAGTTTAATCGTTCAGGAAGCACGATCGGGGCCCGTAAAAAGTTGGCGTTTCGTGAAACGATGGGGAAAGTTTCCCGAGCGTGGTTGGAATTTTATAGTTGACTCGTCCTCGTCTGTTATTGGCAATAAAGAAGCCCCTGTCGAGTTAGCGGGAACATAGTTCCCCTCTGTGTGGATCACGCTGTCTATAATCGCGATTTTCCGCTCGATCGTGGAACGCGTTTTCCTATTATACGATCGCGTCGATTATTCGATGACTCAGGATCGATCGAGGCGGAAAATCGCCCGTGCGATCCGCAAGTCGAGTGTAAACTTCATTTCCGCTCGAAGATCGACGATCGACGAACGCGACACGAGAGAGAAACGATTCGAATTTGTCCTGTTTCGTTCCTTTTTAATTCCGCGCCAACTTGTACCCTTTCGCTTCGATGGATATCTTCCACCCGGTAGTTTCACGGGCGAGAAACTTCCGTCGTCGGAAGTATTTTTAAAAACTTGCACAACGGATACTTCAGAACTTGGATTACGAAAAGTTTCGAAGGCTGCCGCTGTGATTTTCTACCAACGTTCGTCCGGGACTGTTTTGAATCCGTTGTCGAATACCAAACGATCCTTCTCGAGCATCTCCGACGCGATCGAACTAAATTTTCGGCATAATACGAGCCCGGGCCATTGTCTAAGAACTATAGCGTTCGTTTTCTGCTCGCGAGAAATTGCCTTTCGAGGCTCCGTTTAGCCGATGGAGAAGTAATTAAACACGGATTCGCGAATACGTTTCCGTCGGGGAACTTCCACTCGCAGATATTTCGAGAAACCGAAGCCACCCCCATCCGGGGCGTCCCTTTGAAATTAAATTCCACGAGGGGCGGGGGAAAGACTCCCGCGGAAAGCGAGTAACGACACTCGTGTCGGTCCTCCAACGGCAACCCTTTTCATCCTGGAAATCAAAGTCGCGTCCCGGCGAGATCAAAACCAGAAAATCCCTGCCCTTCGATACGTTTTGCATCCCGTCTTTTTCGCCCCTTAAGCACTCGGCGTCGCCCCCTCGCTTCTTTTACCGCGGTGAAATTCACGAGCACCGTCGATTCTCCGCCGTCATCGACTTTCTTCCTCGTCGATGTTCCGTCGCGTCTTCTGTGCTTATAAATTTCAGACGTAACAAGAGGGAACAAGAGCATAACCGATATTATGGTAATAACACGGATACCACCTCGCGTTCCATCAACGTTAACGTCTCTGACATCGATTTAACAAATTAGGTCTCTCGCGAACGTTTCATTGCGAGTTTAACAAAATGGACTTCACGTACCATAATTAATCCAACGCGTAACATCTTAATTTTCTATTTGAGAATACAGAAACAACTGTCTTGTATCCTACTAAGACCGTTCAAATGACTAGTAATTATACGAACACCCTGTATACAAATTTCAACTTATTTTCAATTGAATGAACAATTTATAATCCAGTACTATCGCACACCTGTCGTATAATGTTTGATTATGTAAATCCACATCTGTAGTTCCTTATATATTACTACATATTGTACTAAAGGGTTTAATACCCGTTAATAAATGAATGAATAATCCATAGGAATTGCTAAAACATCTTTGGGTATGTAGCGTGAAAGTAAATGTGAAAATAAACATAGAAGACAGCATAAATTATAGTAGTGAGTATGGTCATAGTATAGAGGATGAAATGCCCTTTAAAATGAGCGTTTGTACGAGTGGATAGCTTTATTAGTTCCGGAGATACGAGGATTTTAATTTCAAGTCGATGCGGTGGCTAGTTTCGGAGATACGACAGTCCGAAGCGTTTGTTTACGTTTCATTGAGATGAATGAACTCGCGCGCGCGTAAGTAGTAGCGCGTAGTAAATTCTTGGAAACACTACGCGGAACTAGGTCACGAGAGTCACGTACGTAGGGTAGGTCAGCGCCACGCACGTGCGAGCGAGAGGTCCGACGCGCTAGACGAAGACAGAGATAGCCGAATTCGAAAAAATTACCTATTACATAAATTGCGATATCTCGAAAACCGGAAGTCCGATCGTTAAAAACCAAAAACCACTTTAAAGGGGAAGGTTCACCGCTGCCAAAAGTGATTCAATAATTAATAAAACACTAGTACTTTCGGAACTACACGCGTCTAAAGTTTTGGTAAAAAGATAGCCGAATTAAAAAATATTACCTTTTACATAAATTGCGATATCTCGAAAACCGGAAGTCCGATCGACAAAAACGAAAAGCCACTTTAAAGGGGAAGCATTGCCGCCGCTAACAATACCTTAATAATTAATAAAACACTAGTACTTTCGGAACTACACGCGTCTAAAGTTTTGCTTCAGAAATTGCCGAATTAAAAAAAATTACCTTTCACAGAAATTGCGATATCTCGAAAACCGGAAGTCCGATCGACAAAAACGAAAAGCCACTTTAAAGGGGAAGCCTTACCGCTTCTAACGGCGGTTCGATTATTGATATAGCACTAGTAGTTTCGGAACTACACGGGTCTAAATTTTAACTGTTTTTAATACGCGTTGTTAGACTGTTGTAAGACAGTGAGAGCTGAAGATTCTCACTCACAGTTTCAGTTCTATTTCGTAGAATATAAAATAAATGTAATACAGTAATTATTATTACTATTATTAATTTATTAACGGGTATTAAACATTATAGTCAAACATTATCGCTTAGTGAATGTAACAAAATAAATTTTAGACTTTCTAATGATTGTTCAATGAAATCTGTTTTAGTGTGTACAAAAATTGCATTACTAATCATTCTATTTACACAGTTATATGTATGATTCAAAGAAGCCACGGTACTGTTAAAAGAAAACTGAAGATGGGGCTTGAAAATTTAGGAAATATTGCATATAAAAAATGATATTTAGATTCTAAACTACCAACAATAATACAGGTGGAGTTTCTCTACGATAAAGCGTTGCATACACGGTTTACAATAATAAGACAGTGCATACTTTGCTCTTCGATGAAAAGAGACGCTAAAATTGTATCCCCGAATCGTTAATACACCCCTTTGGCAGGCACCGCGGCGTCTCGAATCGAAGGAGGATTCTCTCGAGCAGACTGTCGCATAATTATTTCGAAAAACTCCCCCGCAGTCTGGCGGTCTCGCGAGTCCCTCGACCCCGCGGTTGCTCGAAGAGTCCCGGAGTTAATTAAACCACCGTCCGCCCTTTTTCCAAAGCGCTCGAAAGCATTACTCGAAAATCTTACTTTAAAGCGGTCGCGACTCTTTGTCCCCCTCGCCCCTCGTTACCCTTTTCTCCGTCCGTTTTCGCCACGGCGCTGTATATGCAAATAACG